GAGCTGCCGCCGAGGACGCCGCGGACGAGGCGGAGGCCGAGATCATTCAGCTGCTGAAGCGGGCGAAGGTGAGGCGGCTCGCGGGCGGGCGGGCGGCCGGCCGGGGCGGCCTCGCCTCGCGGAGACGTGCGTCCCTTCGTCTCTCGCTTGCCACACCGAGGCGGGGATGGAACCTCCGAGGGGAAAAATTACCCCGAATTAGATGGTTACTGGAAGAGCGCGGGGATACATTCAGGCTGGCAAGTCACAAAAACCTGCAGCAGAGTCGCAGTCTCCGGTGCAGATCGGGACAGCACCCTGGCATCGCTCCTCTGGCCAAACATTATTGAGACTGTTTTGCCTTAAAAAAAAAAAAAAACACTAACCTAGCTGCAATGGCATTTTTGCACGTTCCACGTAGGGCATCGTGAAATGGAACTTGGTTTTTGGTTCTCTTCTAAGTCCTTTTTTTCTTCACGTCCTTTTCCTCTCCTCTCCAGTTTCCATTGGCCTAAATATCTTAGACTTAACGCCTGCAATGTCCAGATTTGTGTTCAGGGTCTGTGATGTGTCCCTGTGAGCTCCTCCACCTTTCACTTAACAGTCCTCAGACTAAACTGCCTTCAAATGCTTCCCCCAACGCAGTCTTTACTATCTTTTGCAAGGGGGTAGGGGGTAGGGAGAGCGTGTGTGTGCACCAGTACTGGACCTTGAACTCAAGGCCTAGGTGCTGTCCCTGGAGCCTCAACTCCACTTCTAGCTTTTTGGGGGTGGTTAATTGGAGGTAAGGGTCTCACGGTCAGACCTTCATGATCCAGTTGGCTTTCAACTCTATGAGTCCTCAGATCTCAGCCTCCTGAGTAGCTAGGGTTACACCACCCAGCTTCCACCTTTAGTATCTTCTCTTTACTATCTCAGCCAAGAAACCTGATAAGCTATTTTTAAAACTTGTGGTATATTACTATTGATTCAAATACACAGAACTAACTCCTTGTTGGCACCAAATCCAAAATGTTTCTCAAATCTTTCCCCCCTCTGTATTTCTCACCTGTTCCAGTAGTATGTCTTGTCTTCTTGCCCCCTCCCCACAGTCCATCCTCCATTTAGCAACTTGATGTTTTAGAAAATCTAAATCAGATTGAGTGTGGTGGTGCAGTCCAGTAATCTCAGCATTCTAGAGGGTGTAGCAAAAGGATGATGTGCTGGAGACCAGCTTGGATTGCATAGTGTCACAGAGTCTTAAAAATACATAGATTAGATCATACCTCTTCCTTGCTTGAAAACTTCGAATGGTTTCCCATTGCATTTATGATAAAACCCATCCAACCTTACCAACCCATTTGACAATAACCTTCTGGTTCACCAACACCCCTTCATGTCTCTTTTCCTTGCATTTCTTCTGAAAGCACCCTTCCGAAGTTCCTTTTTTGACTCTTGCCTGTCCTTCCGGCCTCAGTTTAACTGTCAATTCTTGGGAAGTTTCCCTAACTGCTGACATCACTCCTTTTATTGTTTTCCTTTAAAGTTCTTCTTGTGAGTTGTAATCAAGTTTATTCTACATAGTCATCTTCAGCTTGCAGGAAAAGAAAAAGAATGGAGGGCAAACAGCTTCCTTATAAAATAGTATGCAAAGATTGCTCATGTTCCTCCTTCCTGCATCTTTGGGTCAATACTGCTATATGGCCAAGCGAGGCTGGCCTCCCTGCTACCTATAATGCCTGGGGCATAGTAGAGATTCAGTAGATGGCTGATAAAATGAGAATCTTTCCTTCCCTGCTCCCCTCCTCTCACCCCTCTCCTCTTTTCTCTTCCTTCCTCCTTTGTCTCCCTTCCCCCCTCCTTTATGGTATGGATTTTGCACTCGCTAGTCAGGTGCTCTACCTCTTGAACCTCTGTGCCTTCAGCCCAAGAATAGCTTCTCTCTGTACTGGGATATATAGTCATATCTATTTCTGTCTGGTAACATGTAATGTGCTTCCCTTACATTTAGTGTTATTTTCTTTGTCTTTGCTTTTTAGTTGAGCATCATGAAAGATGAACCAGAAGAGGCTGAGCTGATTTTGCATGATGCACTCCGCCTCGCCTATCAGAGTGATAACAAGAAGGCCATCACTTACACTTATGATTTGGTAATTCTTTTAACCCTTCTGAGCCAATCATGATGAAGGGTAGATACTAGGGACGAGTTCTACTTCCTAGTCTGTATTTCTCACCTTCAGGATGTCTCCGTCTTCCTGCCCTCATTTTCTTTTTCTTTTTTTTTTGTCGGTCGTAGGGCTTGAACTCTGGGTCTGGGTGCTGTCCCTCAGCTCTTCAGCTCAAGGCTAGCCCTCTACCACTTGAGTATAGTCCCACTTCCAGCTTTTCTGTTTATGTGGTGCTGAGGAATCAAACCCAGGGCCTCATGCATGTGAGGCAAACACTCTACCACTGAGCCACCTTCCCAGCATCATATTATTGTTTTTTTTAAAAACATGCTCCTCCCTAGAGTAATTTTTTTTTTTTTTGGTCCAGTCGTGGGGCCTGAACTCTGGGCCTGGGCACTGTCCCTCAGTTCTTCAGCTCAAGGCTAGCGCTCTACCATTTGAGCCACAGCACCACTTCCGGCTTTTTTCTTTTTGCTTATGTGGTGCTGAGGAATCGAACCCAGGGCCTCAAGCATGCAAGGCAAGCG